TCTTTTCTATAGCGTGGCAACCAGAACTGAATGCTGTATTCCAAGTGTGGCCTTACCAAGGCCTTATAAAGTGGTATTAACTCTTCACGTGATCTTGATTCTGTCTTTGTTGATGCAGCCTAAAACTGTGTTGGCTTTTTTGGCAGCTGCTGCACACGGCTGGCTCCTATTTAAATGGTTGTCCACTAGGACTCCAAGATCCCTCTCACAATTACTACTGTTGAGCAAGATACCACCTATACCGTACCTGCATTTCGTTTTCCTTGCCCAAATGTAGAACCTTACTCTTTTCACCATTTAATTTCATTTTATTAGATAGTGCCCAATGTTCAAGTTCATAACTTAGGTTTTGTAAAGCAGAACTAATATTTCACGTTATCTTGATTCTATGCCCCTGTTTATACAACCCAGGATTGATAAGAGATCTCTTTGCTTTTACGTTTCCAACATTCCTTTGAAATACCTTTATACATTCTGGATAACTTACCCGGTGTTAAATACCAGCGACACATCGTCTTATAAAACTTTTCTTTTAAATTATAATTTAATGTGAATTTTAAATCTTTCGTCCACATATTTTTCCATCGTTCAAGCCTCACATGATATCCAAACTTCTTTGCCTACTGAATCATAAAATGTTTTTACATGTTCACTTTCCAGATTCAATTTCAGGAACGTTTTATAAACCTTAGCAATTAATATATTCATTGCTGCCATACAATAAGATTTCCAATTCAAAACTATATTTTTAACTTCTATTCCCAAATCTTATTGTCATTTGAAATCAAAAGTGAATAGATGGATTATGTGCAAGTTTTCCCAATAGTTCAAAACTCATGTTATTGCAAATAGAAAATAGAGCACTTGAGTTTGTTTCAATCTTTGTTTTATTTATTTACTTAATTTGTATACATCCAGAAAGCGCTAAGTGGCAATTAAAGGATGAGATGAAGGTACTTCGTAATGTTCATATGCAGCGGCTGAAAGCATCTTTTTATCAAGACGAGTGGATTATTTGAGATTTCTAAATTACTGTTCTTTTTCTATAATTCATCTTCTCTTATTCTTTGACTTCTCATTTTATTTACCTAACAAAAAAAGAAGGTAAGAAAGGATTTCCTAGCCATGTCCACCTTTGTCCATGTTCACCAGTAAAACCTAATCTGTAGTCCTATCTGGAGGCTAAGGTATATAAAGAGCGGTTGCTGGAATTGGGTATGTCTGGTCTAGTGAAAAGAAGGGGTGATATGATAGCAGTCTTCCAAAATTTGAGGGGCTGTCGCAAAGAAGAAGCGGGTCAAGCTAGTTGCCAAAGTCCTTGAAGGCTGGACAAGAAGCAATGGGTGGAAACTGATCAAGGAGAGAAGCAACCTAGAACTAAGGAGAAATTTCCTGACAGTGAGAACAATTAATCAGTGGAACAACTTGCCTCCGGAAGTGGTAAATGCCCCAACACTGGAAGTTTTTAAGAAGAGATTGGATAACCATTTGTCTGAAGTGGTAGAGGGTTTGTTCTGCCTGAGCAGGGAGTTGGACTTGAAGACCTCCAAGGTCCCTTCCAACTCTATCATTCTAGTGTAATCTAGTCTAGTCTCAATAAAGATTCTGTCCAGTTCTTTCCTACCCTATCCTATCCCATCCTATCCTTAATGTCCTGTCTATCCTATTCTATCCTTAATATCCTATCGTAGCCTTAATGTCCTCTTGTCCTGTCCTATCCCATCCTATCCTAGCCTTAATGTCCTTCTGTCTATTCTATCCTATCCTATTCTTAATGTCCTCCTGTCCTATCCTTAATGTCCTGTCCTGTCCTATCCTTAATATCCTATCCTATTCTCAATGTCCTCCTGTCTATTCTATTCTCTCCTATCCTATCCTTAATGTCCTCCTGTCTATCCTATTCTATTCTATCCTATCCTATTCTTAATGTCCTCCTGTCCTATCCTTAATGTCCTGTCTTGTCCTATCCTTAATGTCCTATCCTATTTTTAATGTCCTCCTGTCTATTCTCTTCTATCCTATCCTATTCTTAATGTCCTTCTTTCTATTCTATTCTATCCTAGCCTATTCTTAATATCTTCCTGTCCTATCCTTAATGTCCTGTCTTGTCCTATCCTTAATATCCTATCCTATTCTTAATGTCCTCCTGTCTATTCTATTCTATCCTATCCTATTCTTAATGTTCTCCTGTCTATTCTATTCTATCCTAGCCTATTCTTAATGTCCTTCTGTGCATTCTATCCTATCCTATTCTTAATGTCCTCCTGTCCTATCCTTAATGTCCTGTCCTATCCTTAATATCCTATGCTATTCTTAATGTCCTCCTGCCTATTCTATCCTATCCTATCCTTAATGTCCTCCTGTCTATCCTATTCTATCCTATCCTTAATGTCCTGTCATGTCCTGTCTATCCTTAATATCATATCCTATTCTTAATGTCCTTCTGTCTATCCTGTCCTATCCTTAATGTCCTGTCCTATCCTATCCTTATTATCCTACCCTAGTCTTAATGTCCTGTCCTGTCCTTCCCCATCCCTATCCCTATTCTATTATTTGGTCTAAAGGGAATTGCTTCACTGGGGCAAGGAGGGTCAACCTGGGTCTCATAGGATTAGATAAAGAAACTGAGCCTGACCCTGGTCGTACCCAAAAAGAAGAAGAAAAAGGTGCAGCCTCCATTTTTCAGTTGAGTTCATTTACCCCCCACCCCCCTAAATCAGCTCCTTCCTTCCTTTTTTCCTTCCTTCCTTCCTTCCTTCCTTCCTTCCTTCCTTCCTTCCTTCCTTCCTTCCTTCCTTCCTTCCTTCCTTCCTTCCGATACTTGGCGACTGATGGTCCCAGTGTCCTGGGATCACGTGCTCCCCTCTTGCAACTTTCTGTCCAGCAAAGTCAATGGGGAAGCCCGTTTCCGTTAACAACCGTGTTCCTAACTCAACAACCACAGCCGTTTCACTTAACCACTGCGGCGAGAAAAGGTCATCCCGCGGGTTGAAACTCACTTCACATAATGGTATCGCTTTAGGGAGGGAAGGTTTGGGCTCAGTTGGGGCCGTGAAGTCGAGGACTCGCCGCCGTGGTGTAGAAAACTATTATCCAAAGGAATTAGCTTTGGGTTGCCGACCTTCAGCTGCGCATTTATCTTTTCTCCTCAAATGAGCTCTCTTTAAAGCAGCGGTTCTAATGCTTCTTAGAAAAGGAGACAAAAGTGAGAAGGAGGATAAAGCCACCACTCAACCTTCTGCTTCTATTCCCCTTCTGATTTCCCCCNGGAATGGCTTGCCTCCGGAAGTTGTGGGTGCTCCATTAATACAGGGTTTCAAGAAAAGATTGAACAGTCATTTGGTTGACAGTCATTTGGCTCCTGCTTGAGCAGGGACGTGGACTAGAAGATATCCAGGATCCAACCCTAATATTGTATTTTCCAACCCTAATATTGTATTTTTTTTGTGTATTGCATGGCATAAAATAATTTATCCTGCTGGATTGTTGTTAGTTGTGAAGATGAATATTTCTGAAAACTGGTTCCTTGAAGAAACCGTGATAATACAAATTTAGTACTAAAAATGAAATAGTGAACTGTCTTCAGTGACCGACTCCAGTTCTGTGCTAAGAAGCACTGTGATCTCGCATGAACAACCCTAAAACCAAAGTTCAAATGCAGTGATGATTGTCCAAAAAGGAGATTTCATTAGTCTGGAGATCTATTTGTCCTATACCTTTCTGTATGTTATGTTGCAAAATTGTGTCAAATAAAGCTAAGATTTACTATTTCATGCCATGGGATACACAAAATAATGCAAATAGTAAACACCATATCTGTTTCTAATAAAGCCTTAATACTTGACTTAGAAGGTGATAAAGAGGTGGATCTAGCATGTAGGACCAAAATCTGGCTGGGCAAAATTCCTGTAAGGATACGTAATGTAATGTAATAATGGCATTTTATTATTTTTCCCCCAGTGGCTTTTCAAACAGAAGATAAGGACTGCAAAGCAGAAGTGTGAGTATTAGGATGTAGACGCATGAAACTAGAAGAAATGGTTCAACTGAAGCATGTACATTTTATTGTACTCCAATTTCTTGGCATTTTGTTTGGTGTTAAAAGACACAAATAACTTCAAATAGCTCTCTCTTCTGAGTCTGGCTGATATAGAAACTAAGTTCAGAAAAGTTAAAACTGTAGTAGAATATTTTAGGGATATATTTGGAGTAGAAACCAGAACACATTACATTGAAGCATAAGTTGGATTAATGAAAACAGTGGTAGCAAAAATAGGCTTGAAGGTTACACTCCCTCATTATTGACTTACGCAAATGAGAATGTACATGTGATTAAATATTGCAATTATGTATCACACGTATGCTATCTAGGTTTAATACATTAGTATATCTCATGCGCCTAGTGAAGTCAATGAGGCCATTAAAGTGTAACTTTACACTTAGGTAATAAGTCGAGACTACATTTTGGGTTTTGAATGAACAAAGGCATTCTGTGAACATAGTTTCTTTCTAGGGAGTCATTTTTAATTGCTTTCCCAGACCTCTGCTTGCCTCCAAATAACTTAAGGACAAATTAATGTCCTTTGAATGTTCTGAAGTTAAGGTGGCAGTGCAGTTTTCTTTCAAAAAAGGCATTTTTGTAATCAGGTAGTTGCTCAATTTAACTCTAGCTTTGTTTTGTCTAGGAAGATTTATTTGAATTAAGGGCTTTAACTTGGCCCTATAAAAATTGCATACTCACCTAAATCAAACTAGTATGAAAATTACAGTTAAAGTATTTGCCTTAATTATAGATTGATCCAAGGTAAGTGGTTCATGCTAGATTTAAAAGTAATCAGCATGTCACTCAAAGCACTTTTATCATTTGTGTCTTTTATTTCAGATTAAAAATCTATATCAGATCTTAGATCAATCTTCCACATATCTTCCCCACATGTGTTAGGACTGTAGCACTCAAAATTCTCATCCAACGAGGTATAATTACAGACTGTAGAGTTATAGAGACTAATTTGATTCTGAACTTAATAACGGCAGCAAGACTGTTGGTGGTGCAGTACTGGAAGACAGAAGAATTGCCTACTATTCAAGAATGGACGTTAAAAGTAGCAAATTTAGCAGAGATGGCCAAAATCTCAGCATATTTGAAGGACCACTCAAATGAGAAATAACAAGTTGGAATGGAGAAGATGGATTGATTACATTCAAAATAAATATCGGACTAAGAAATTTCAATTAGCTTATGAATGAACAAGGAATGTTATAATCTATCTAAACTTAGTTTAATAAAAGGGGAGTTAAAGTACAAGAGGGAGGTAGGATGCTATAGTTAGTTAGCCTATGTTAGTGTATGATTGTTAAATGTTTATACCCTGTATTTTGCTCTGGGAAGTTGTGGGGATGGAGGGCTGGAGGAAAGGGGAAATATTTGTAAAATTTATTAAAATTCTTTAATTAAAAATAATTCTCATCCAGCGTAGGATGAACGAGGATAGGCAAGACTATTGTAGAAGTTTGTTTGCAATTTTACATAAAAACAGAAATTGCCAGAAAACATTCAGTTGTGCTTGTAGCCTTTGAGCGTATGATATATACCGGGTGACTCTGAACTGAGAGCATTTTCCATATTGTTTCTTCTGTCTCAGAGTCAACGTAGTGTTCATAGATCGTTGTGGGCAAAAAATCCCAGTGCAAGGCAAAGTTGGAGATGATGTGCTGCACTTGGCTCAGAGAAATGGCATTGAACTAGAAGGTATGTCGTGAATATCTGTCTAATGCTCTCCTGGATCAGAGCAAAGATCCGTTTAGGCCAGCATCCTGTTTCCAAACATTGGGTCACATGCTCTGAGAGACCGCCTGCTGCCAATTACCTCCAATAGACCGATCAGATCCTACAGATTAGGCCTCCTCCGAATTCCATCCGCCGGCCAATGCTGACTGGCGACTACCCGGAGGAGAGCCTTCTCTGTGGCTGCTCCAACCCTCTGGAACGAGCTCCCCGTGGAGATTCGAACCCTCACCACCCTCCAGGCCTTCCGCAAAGCCCTTAAAACCTGGCTGTTCCGACAGGCCTGGGGCTAAAGAGCTTTTGCCCCCCCCCCCTCGAATGGTATGGTTGTTGTGTGCTTTTAAATTGTGTATTGTTCTGTTCGTCTTTTTTTTTCATCCCTTATCTGTACCCCCTTCCCTGACTTGGATTGTGAGTCGCCCTGAGTCCCCTTCGGGGAAAAGGGCGGCATATAAATGCAATAAATTCAATTCTGGGAAACCCACACAAGCAAGATATGAATACAATTATTTATTTGATTTACACATCTGCCCATCTCATAAGTGACGCTGGGTGGCTTATATTAATATAAATAAACCGAAGAAAATATACAATATAAAATAAAATAAAAACACAAAAGTTGAGCAGTGTAAAATAACCCTCAACAACGAAAAGAGATGGGCTCTCTATCTGTTCTGGAACTCTAGGCAAGGCACAAACCCACGTTTTTAGGGTCTTGCAATAGCTCTGCCCCCCCTAGGTTTTAACACTTACACTGCCTCTAAATTGAAGTTCTATAATTGCAAGCTTACAGCAGCATAGAAGCAATCTTGCTAATAACCGCCAGTTTCAAAGATTAAAAATTAAAGCTGTCCTACCACAATTTGTAACTTTAAAAGATCTTGCAGAAAAACTCTTTTAAACTCTTTTAAACTCTGCAGCAAAAAAGGTATACAATTACTGGGTTTGTACAAAAACAGTAAAAATTTAAGTAGCAACACCACCCCTTTCCACCACCCACCCCCTCTCCTACATTCCTAATTTTCTGGTAGATTTGTTTACCTGTTCCTAGGTGCCTTCTGGTTGCCCACAGGATTCGTCCAGTTTTTTTAAATAGATTCCAGGATTTAATCATGGCCCAGAGAGACAATGCTGCTTCTTTATGTAATCTTAGCACTAGTAACTAACTTCTGCCTTTATTTTTTATTTTTTTTTAAAAAAAAACCTTTTTCCTCTCCAGGAAGAAAAGGGTTAGGAGGATCTGCCTGGGGGGGAAAAAAAAACAAATCTCTGTGAATTTAAATCCAGCCAGTGGTTTTCTGTTATGCTGCCTCTTGGCAGAAGAATCATTTGAGATCAGGGAAGCTGGATTGAATCAATCTCTCTTTTTATTTTCCCAGGTGCTTGTGAAGCCTCCTTAGCTTGCTCTACCTGCCATGTTTACGTAAGCCATGATTTTGTGGATAAGCTTCCCATGCCTGATGAACGGTAAGGATTTGCCTTGGTTTTCTTCTTATACAGGCTGTGGCTGACCATAGGTGTCAAACTCCCGGCTTGTGGGCCAGATACGTCCCGTGCTGGCAACTCCCACTCCTGGTTTAGCGATGGGGGAAAAGTTGCAACCCGTCAGGTGATGACTTATTGCGAATTTGACACTCCTGCTTTAGATTGCCATTTCCTGATGTTGGCTTTATGCTGATACTTTTCTCAAGCCCTGAGGAGCAACATGACTGGGTGTGTTCCGGCTCTTTGGGGATGAATAATTTAGGAGGACGTATCTGTAAAGAGGCATCCTTCATTTTTACTTTGGAAAGACTCCACGACACCTCTGTAGTTTTTCTGTCTGCTTCTGAGTTGGATAATAGTACAAGCCATCCAGTGGTGGGTTTCAATTTTTTTTTGAACCTACTCTGTGGGTGTGGCCTCCTTTGTGGGAGTGGCTTGCCAGCCATGTGACCTGGTGGGAGTGGCTTGCCGGCCATGTGTTTTCTTTCTCTCTCTCTCTCCCTCCCTCCCTCTCTCTCTTTCCTTCCTTTTGTCTCTCTGTCCCTTTTTCCTTTTTTTCTTTCATCTCTCTCTCACTTTTTCTTTTTCTTTCTTTCTTTCTTTCTTTATTTCTCTTTCTCTCTGTGAGTGAGTGAGAGTGTGTGTGTGTGTGTGTGTGTGTGTGTGTGT